TCCCCGAACCACGCTAGTTTTTGTGTTTTCGTCACCGTCGTTTTCGTAGTCCAGGAGAAACGGGCGCGGCGATTCGAAAGGGCGCAGGGAGAAACGGGAAAGGGTGGACGTGGAGTTTCTCCTCTCCGCGATAGCGACAAGAAAAGAGAAAAAAAAAAAAAAAAATGTTTCTGCGTTTGGCCGCTCGCTCTTTTGTGGCGCTAGCGGACAAGGTTCTCTCCGCTCCCGTTTCTCCGCCCCTCCTTTCCCATTTACGGCGGCCGTCTTTTCGCGCGACGCGCCAGGCTTTCTCCGTATAGAGGAGGCTATGCACAAGCACTCTGTTTTACGAGACTCTTCCAGTTCGAAACGGCCAGGGGCGAGCAGGAGGTTGAGGCTCAGAAAAACCTTGAAGCGACCTGGCAAACTACCTCGCCACCCCTGGCACGCTGGTAGTAATCCGATCCGGTGAAGTTTATAATTGTCCTGGAGGTTTATTTTCTGGGACGGAGGAATCGCCTCGCAAAAAGCACAAAAGCCGACACAACTCGAGGTCGAGGAGCGTTCTACCATACAAGTGGCGTCGCAAGAGGAAAAACGGGGGGAAAGAGGGTAGCGGGGGGGGGGGGGGGGGGGGGGGGGGGGGGGGGGGGCTTCAGCTTCCTTCTCCCCCTTGCAGGTATTTCGAACTGTGAAAGAAAACAATACGGGGAAAGAGGGCGTGGTCGAGCTTATTTTAATCTGAAATTATTTATGCATATGTAAAGCTACTGTCGCTCTTCACTGCATAAAAGGTTGCGTAGATGGTCATTGTTAGAAACTCGTTGTCAGAAGGCACTGCTCGTCACATGCTTAGTGGTTCGGAAGTTCAAAGCTGTCTTTTCGACCTAAACACCTGTGCCGATAGTAACAAAAAAAAAGAATAAATGCGGGAATAAAAAGCAGGAGAAAAAAAAGACTATCAAGAATTCGTCGGAAGTGTTCTTTTCTTGCATATTCAGAGGTTCAGAACTTCGAAACAAGTTTCTTTTACCAAAATGTGTACACGCTAAAAGAAACACGTCCCAGGAACGTGAAGCGAAAAAAAAAATGTTTTCTTTTAATGACGTGCTGAACTTGAACACTATTAGAAATCTTCTCCCATGAGTTAATTTATTCCTTAATGTGAAAAAACAATAAATATATTATTTCGTATTCTGCAGATGGCAATGATATGTACTGTCTGTGGTGTTAATTTAAATGCGATACCTCAAACAACTTAGACGAAAATAAATATCAAGTTTAGGTTATAATTGCATGCAGATACATGTTTGGACATTTCTTCGAAACTCATGTTGAATAACAATAATCACATCTTAAGACGGCACTTACGTAGGCTATACATGTATCATTCTTAAAAAAAAGTATAACATATCTACCATAAATAGCTCCGGCTGCAGCGTGCTTCAAATCTGGCACAAATGATAATCGTCAAAAACCCGTCGTCCTTCCTCGCCCCTTCGGGGATTTATTTCTTTAAACCTAAGCATGCCAGAACATTGAAATAAACGACATTGTCTTTCGTAAGGAACGCAGCACCGCGTGTAAAAGTTTGAGAAAAAAAAAATTACGAATGTACCCCACTACTTGAAATCAAATAAAACCGTCCGCCGGTCTTTCGAAGTTCGACGAACGTCGAACTTTTACCCTAAAAGTTCGAAGTTCGTCGAACTTCTGACTTTTCAGAATCCGAAAGTTCGAAACTTTTCGAATTCTCTTGATAAATAAGTTCGAAAGTTCGATATTCATCGAATTATTTGGTCAGTCAAGTTCGAAAGTTCGACAAGCATCGAACCTTGCAGCGCAATAAGTTCGAAAGTTCGAAAAAGATCGAATTTTTTAGCGTAATAAGTTCGACGGTCGAAAAGCGTCGAACTTCTTAGCTTAACAGGTTCGAAAATTCGACCTCCGTCGAATTTTACGATATAGACAATTCGAAAAATCGAAATCTTTCGAACCTTTCGAATCGCTTGATTCGATCATCGAAACTTCGATTCGAAAAAAGTTCGCGGCATCCCTAGTTCGAATGTTCTCCGACACCAGTCGAACCTGAGATTGGGACGAAAGTTCGCAACATCAATTTGTTGTGAGTGATCGCACCGGCGTGCGCACACGTTTGGCACAAACCCAAACAAACGCACATTAAAAAAATAAATAAATAAAACCTTCAATTTTTTATTATCTTTTAGCCACTTTGTGTAATTCACTTTCGTGACGGAAGAGCGTCGCACGAGTGCTGCGTCGGCGTGCGGCAAGGGCCCAATACCACGTGGAAGACAGGGCCTGCAATTGACGTCATCGTCTGTGGAGATCCCCGACTCGCCCCGAGCGGAAAACACGCTGGGAGCTCGACGAAGAGTCGCCGTAAAAGCAGCAGACGTGTCTGTCCTGGCTTTACCGCGACGCTGTAGCGTCGCCGTCGTTGTGAGAACGCTGCACGACGCGATGGCGGCGATTCTGACGCACGCTAGACGGCGCTGCTAAATCCTTCCAAGAAATGTTATTAAAAAAAAGATAAGATAAACGTGCTACGTGACTAGGTGGCGCAAATCGTCGCCCGATTCAAAGGGTTTAACCTTCTTCTTCCATCCAACCATCCAATAAAAATGGCTTCTTCCTCCGACAACCAAATCTCGTAAAGACTACTTCGCGAGGCGCATGTAAAGAATGCGCAAAAGTTTTTTTTTTTTTTTTTTTTCGTGAGGTGAAAACGAGTATAGATGCTATGGTACATTACTAGAGCTCGCGTTCAGTTATACTCGGGAACAACTAGAAGCACACGAACCCAGGTGCAACAAACCGGTTTCGAGCCCGGTCACTGGGTTTGAGGCCAGACTGGCTAGACTCTCACCGGCGTCCCTTAAAACTTACCCTAATCGAGTGGACTGGGATTTCAATAGGCACGGCCTGCGTAGGCGCAGTTTCATGCACTGCTGGCGGCTAAATTCTCGTCTTTTCCCGCTGTATTTTCTGTTTCATGTTGTATGCATTTCCCGAAAACACTAACAAAACATTGTACCACATTTGAAAAAATAAATAAATAAATAAAATGGTAAGCTATATTTGTTGGGTACGCGCGCGACAGAACTAATGCGACTGAAATGTTAGTTGTCGTTTGTTGTTTTTGTTTTTTACGATAAGTTTTGACGGCGCCACCTGATTAGCCGCGTGTCAAACGAAAAGGCGCTTAGCTGTGGAAAATAATTTACAACAAAAGATAGCCAAAAGATGCTTCTTTTTTTTTTCTTTTTTTTTTACGCTTACAATTAACGTGTTTGCCGATGGACAGGACACGGACATACAGTTTAGCAATATATTGTGCGTGCCGCACGATGCAGCGTTATCCGAAAAGAATTTATTTGAGAAAGATCTCAAATAACACGGTCACAGTCGACGACAGTCACATCTTGACGATCGGACGGAATCCAAGATGACTTGGTTTTGGGCACGTTTTGGGGAGAGCTTCCTTTTTTCACACTAGCACCAAGGCAAAGGAACGGGCGCGACTGACTCCGCGGATTATCTCTGGGAGGGGGAGAACAGTTGTCATTGTTCGCAAAATCGTGTCGAGGGCCGTTCGACGTCCTCCCCTCCTTCGTTTCCCCTGAATGTCGAGCAGAAACCCCCGAATGGCAGGCACTTACCAGCCCTATTTCTCACAGTGGAAAATAAAACAGAAAGGGTACGCAGCATGCATCAGTCAGAAAAATTAAGTGAAAACTTTTAGGAGGGGCCAGAAAACGTCGAATGCAAAACCGCAAAACATAGGCAGAGAATCGCGCCGAGGGGGTTTTCACAGTTCGGAAAGTCCACAGAAAGTTGTCGACAGGGTATCCCCCTGTAACATTACGCAGTTGTTTTTTTATTTATTTTATTTTTTTTTTTGGGGGGGGGGGGGGAAGGCACGTTGAATATAAAGCAGCAAATGAACACGGGTTTTAGCCATGTGAAGATGTGAAGGATCCAGTGCCGCAGAGCTCGGGGGGTGAACACCGAGCTCTGGGGGAAATAAGCTGGACAAAGCGCCCTTCTAGTTCGATCTCCTGATCAATACATATGATGCGGTGCCATTGCCTTTGCCACGATATGTATATTGACATCGGGATGGCAGACGACTATCTCATAAATGAACCTCCAAAAAATCGTCTGCTGAGCCAACGGCAAATGGTACGTTAGAAAACATGATTGCGCTTTGAAGACGGGGACATTGGAAGGACAGACACCACAGAGCGCTCTGTGGTGTCTGTCCTTCCTATGTCCCCGTCTTCAAAGCGCAATCATGTTTTCTAACGTACCATACCAACTTGCCCAACAATCAGCACTTGGCAAATGGTTCGGTGTTTTTCAATGTAACTGTTCCGCTGCGGACAAAAACCGGTGTTTATCGGTACTTTTGTTGAAAAAAACAGGTCATGGGCATGGGATTCCCGAACTTTCGGGGAACAGCGGTTACCCAAATCCTTGTATAATCGTCCCGGTACCAGTAAGAGAAGAAAACGAGGCAAGGGATGCACTTCCCAGGGAAGCATCCTCGGGGAAGGTTCGCTGTCGACTGTGTTTCATGGCGGCGCAAAGTGAAGCTGTAGCTTAAAATTCATTTCTAAAAATCATTTTTTTTTTTGCTTTTTGCTTTTTTTTAACGACAGTTTTAATTTGGAGTTTTTCAGGTTTTTTTTTTTTTTTTTCCTTGATTTTGGTAATACTGTCGAGACCGGTTATATCGAAACACCGGCTACAACGAAGCGATCACAATTTCCCATTCCCTTTTGCACTTCGTTATAACCCAAGTCGGTTATAACGAAATAGCGGATAAAGCGAAGTGATTTCCGATCGCCGTTGACTTCGTTACAACTGGTTTTGACAGTAACAGGCTCGGGGTTTATTGGTAAGTATATACCGAAAACACAGAACCCTAGTTAAAAACTAAAACTTGTTAACTTGAATTGCCTTTTTTAACATCCGCGTGTTTCCGATATGCGCAGAAACACAGCACTTCGTCGACGTCTTCGTCCGGGTCTGCGGCCACCGCCAGGGTGTCTCCCACTTCCGGTGCGTCGCCAGCGCCACCTACGTCGACGCCGTCGTCGAACCAGCTGCTGGTGGTGCCCCCCGCGGGAGCGCCGGCGCCCCGGTTGTGTCACGTGGTGCGGAGGTCGGACTTCGACGGTTACGGCTTCAACCTGCACGCCGACAAGTCGCGAAACGTGCAGTACGTCGGAGCCGTGGACAAAGGCAGCCCCGCCGAGGCCGCGGGGCTTAGGCCTAACGACACCATCGTCGAGGTGGGTTGTGCACCGCTGGAGACCTTTTCTTAGTTGGCACCGTAATTCGAGCGCGGTGTCATTACTTGGAGGTTTTAATTTAAGATTTTAGTATGCGTGGTTGCTCGATTGCAAGGTATGCGCCGTAAAAGTTCGACAAGTGCAGTGGAGACAAGGGCAGATAGCTTTAGGTCTACCCACTAACAGGGATGGGCAAAATACATGCAAATATGTATCGAAATACAAATACAAAATACTTCGTCAAAATGTATTTAATTACAAATCTAATTACATTTACAAAAAAGAATTTAAATTACAAGATACAAATACAACCAAATGTATTTGGTCTCCTCCAAATACTTTTCCAAATACATTCCTCAAAATTTGTGTCAGCGACTTCAGGGCACCTGCAACGGGTTTCTGGGTATCTCATTTTAATTTTGCATCGCACACTCGGGAGCTAGTGTGCGAGGCTCTAGAAACGTAATAGAGATATACTCAAACAAAAAAAATGTAATCAGCTTGGACGTAGTAGGTGAAAAAAATACAGAGCTTCAAGCAGTTTTTTCTTTGTCGATTACATTTTGGTATAGACCAACAAAGAACCGAGACGACCAAGACGCGCAGCACTAGCTAGAGAATTTTTTTATTGTTGCAACTCGCACCAGTTACGAAAATCTGGACGACCCGCGCATTTAGAATGTTCCAGGTAAAAATATGGATGGAAATCAGGCTGGAAAGCATCACAAGTTGTCACAGGCACTTATTTAGCCAGTCTGCCTGTGAACGTCGATTTCGTCACTATTCTTGCCCTGGGCTAGCACCGTAATCACATAGTCACAAAACGCTTGTGCTTGATTGAGAGACACTGCATTCGGTGCAGAACATAGTTTTCTTCCTGCTCTGGACAGTGACAATAAATTTGTGGGATGTATTTTCGCCCACAAAATTGCATTTAATTACGATTGTATTTGAAATACCCACGTTTTAGTATTTAAATACACGCGTCAAATACATTACCCAATTTGTAATTAAATACAAATGCAAAATACACAAAGTATTTAAAATACGTATTTTAATTACTTGTATTTGAAATACTGCCCATCCCTGCCCACTAATCTCTCCAATCAAAGTTCGGCGTTCCGACGTTCTCCTGCCATCCATCATGGATGGATGGATAACCGGATACGGTATAGTTGGGTGGCAGCTTACGCCACCTAGCCAAAGTTTTTGATTTCAAACCACTGACTAATCTTCGTTTGAAAAGAGGCGCTAAAATTAAGCCTTCTAACAATATATTCCTAAACATATTGTCAAAAGGCTGTCGTAGTTCTACGAGAACGCGACGCCTGATGGCGGTGAAAAGGCAACGCTCAGAAATTGGGATTTTGCGTTTGTTGGAAAGCTGGATGGATGGATGGATGCACGCAGTTGAACCCTCTAAATCGGGCGACGGCTTCCGGCTTCTAAGCCAGTGTTTTATTGAGAACGCTGTCGACGCCTAGCGGCGAAAGAGTGCACCCGAGAAACAGCTCGGTTGAGGGAGTTGCGAATGACCCACAGAGGAAGTTAGACAAACAGGGAATAAAACGTTTTGCAAACGTTGAATGTTCGCTGTTTTGGAGACAAGTGATCCCAAAAACATCATTCTAGAAAAGAAAAAAAAGAAAAGAAAAGCTGGATATTGTGAACACACACGTACTGGAGATAACCGCATGAATGTGGCACATTGCCACATTGCATGTTTTGTGCCCTAATGTCGTGTATACTGTCCAATGTTAGAGGAGGAGCTAACTTGTTTGTTTCAACACAATTTCATTTATAACAGTAAAGCTGCTTTGAGTCATGAGACCCGCACGCACACGCGCGAATGTTTCTTGCTTGACAGCTGACACCCAGATAGCGAGGCCGTCAAAGTTATCATTATAGCATTAGTTCCGTGATGGTGTCCATGTGGGTTCAGCCTTTGCGGAGTGGCATATCGTACGCGGGGCTTTACCTGGTTCACGCGGTGCTATGGGTAGTAAGCAAACAGGGATGCTCTTTCCATCTACTGCCACCCACAAACGCAGGTGGTATAGTTGCATCCGTAGAGAGCGCGCACACGTAAAAATCTTTCTGAAAAAAAAAAAAAAAGAAAGTAATAGTAACTGGCACCCCCTGCTGGCATATTTATATCCTGTATTAAAATATTTTTGTTTTCACATCTATAGGTGTTACCAGGGGGCGCCAAATATGCGTAAGCGCGACGACCTCAATTCAGACACTGTCTTACCTGCGACAAATCGGAGGTTTGACACATCACTGCATCTAAGCTTTTTTCACCTTTGCTTATGGCCAGGAGCGTAGCCAACCCCCCCCCCCCCCCCCCCTTTCCAAAAAAAGAAAAAAAAAAGGTCGCATACGGTAGGCCTATGGCCTACCGTATGTGACATTAGTGCTAGAGGTTTGACACGTCAATGCATCTGAGTATTTTTTTTTTTAATTTTCGTCATGGACATATTGTTTGTACGTTAGTGCAAAAGGTTTCACACGCCAGTCCATCTATGTTTTTGTTTGTTTTGTTTTACTTTCGCTTATGGTTTACCGTTTGTTACGCCAGTGCGAAAGGTATGAAACGTCAACCCGTATACGTTTTACGCTATCCCCTTTGACCAACGTCACCAGATGCCTATGGCCTACCCTATCTGTCCTCAGCAGAAACAGTGCAAGAGGTTCGACAGATCAATCGGTTTTCATTTTCACCTATGGCCAACGTAATGCCTATGGCCTATCGTATGTGACGTCGATGAGTGCAAGAGGTTCGTTCCCTGCTCGCAGGTGAACGGCGTGAACGTGGAAGGCTCGAACCACAAGGAGATCGTGGAGCGCATCAAGGCCGTGCCCAACGAGACGCGGCTGCTGGTGGTGGACGACGGCACGGCGGCCTGGTACCGCGAGAACAAGGTGCCCATCCGGGGCAACCTGCCCAACATCATCCAGCTGTCCAGCGTCAAGGGAAACCGGAGGCCCAGCGAACACAAGTCCGCCGTCTCGGCAGCGGTGAGTGACGCCCTTGGGGGCCGACAAACTGCGCAGCTTTAGATTCACCGTGGTGGAAGAGGGCGGAGGTTGCCTGAACGGCACCGCCTTCGCCACGGAGCAAGTGCGTCGAAGATTCGCTCCCATATCTGACGAAGGCTCAACCGAACTTTAGGCGGAGAGCAAGTCGTCTGCTTCTTGAGCAGGAGTTGGTGACGTCAGAAAGACGCTGAGCTCTGATTGGCTCTGGCTCAAGGATAGTGGGTATAGACCTCAAAGCAAGCTGCCTTGAGGTCTACCCGCTATCCTTCCAGTCAGAGCCAATCAGACGTAGCCGTCTTTCTCACGTCACCAACTCCTGCGCGAGAAGCAGATGAACTTGCGCTCCGCATTGGAAAGCAACGCATAAAAATCGCCGCGAATAAATGGGTGGCAGTTCTTATCACTTTGTCTTGCGCTATGACTGTCATACGTACACGTGCCCCCAGGAACGCCAGTTCTTTATGTCTACCACGCAAGTGATGTTTTCTTGCTTCTATGGTCCCGCCGGAACCACCGATGCTCTCGTCCCGTAGTTCCGGAGCACCCGAAACGCGTGGGACCTTTCCCTCTGGGACATTACCTTAATCCTATATGTTTCGAACCTGTGATGTGACACTCGGGAGTAATTCTTATCAACTGGAACAAGATTTGGAGCGCAGCCAACGTAACGTATAGACAAACGCTAACGACGAGTTTTAGCATTGCGTATACGAGCGAACGCAAGCACATGTGCGTTCGCGTTGCTTGTTCCACAACGCGCGTGCGCAGACCCCACACCGCGGTCTTTGATTAGCGCGTGGCAGTGACGCGCATGTGCAGCGTGGAGCTCGCAACGCAAACACACAGCGTTCGCGTGTGCTCCAATATATGCCATACTAAAACTGTCGCGTGAAAGGACCTTAACAAAGCCGTTGTGGTGGATTTCGTGTAGGCTTATCCTATACCGGATGCCATCGCAGGGCACAGATACGAGACCAGCGTTGCGACAGTGTTCGGCAAGGATTCGTATCCAATCAGCGAGGACACGAATTCGGCCGAACGCTGGTTGACGCGCAGCTGGCCTATCGTGGAACTGTCTTCCGTATACCGGAAGCGCGAAACCGGAAACGCTGAGCGGAAAAGGGAGAATTATAATTCACGATAGAGTATGAGCGTTTCATCTCTTACGTGGCCACGAGCTGCTTCTTCGACGCCGCCTTTGCGACGACACCCACGTCACGCTCAATCCTAACGACAGTTGGAAGGAGTTCACAAACTCAAATCCGAAAGACGTATATCCCCTTCCCCCGCAGTTTGTGCAGCGCTTGATCTGCTATATACATCTTGAAAACAAAAATTTTGGAAAACAACCAATTAATCTCCTTTTTAAGTAATCTAATTGCATACTTTTTTTTAACCGAGAGTAATTGTAATCTATTACTTTTTTTCCGAGTAACGTGACAGCTAGGACACCCCCGCTGAACGAACGCCCTTTCCCTAGCTCTCAAACGAACGTATAAACATCCGCAAACCTCGACGCCCCACACCCCACGACGCGGCGGACGATGTTCGGTTCAGATACCCGTCGGTTCTGCCGGCGCGCGCGTGTACATAAACCCACTCCGCTCGGGGTGAAATATCATCACGATGGCGCGCTTCAAGCTAAGCGTGTCGCCCAAATTTTCGAAAAAAAAAAAAAAAAATTGCCAACGCGGAGTTATAACGCGATTTCGAAAGAACCCTCCTCGCGCTCGGGGAAGCGGACGTATACTCGCAGAAATGGAGCGATAACGTCGAGCCGTTGCGATCAAATAAACTCTACACATATCAAAAGAAACATAAACACGAAATAAACGTTATATCCCACGCGAAGATCATTTACAAACGAAACCGTCGCACTCACAGACCGGAAATAAAAAAAAAAACAAAAAAAAAAAAACAACCAAATTCCCATATATCTGTCGCATAGAAATGAAGACCCCGAGGAAGTGATCATTTCCTTATGGGCTATAGTTCGACGATAGCCCGTTTCGCCTGTCGGCGGTCGGCGGTGGGGTGATACTTCCACGGCGTTGGATTGGAACGGCTCGCGACACACGAGATCTGTCCGCCGAAATACGAAATCGGCTTTTGTTAGCGACTCGAACGGGATTTTTTTACACGACGGTGTTTGTTCCGAAACATCTTCTTCCGTGGCCTGATCGAGCCGTGGTGTTGTTTGTCCCTGTAGTGTGTAAGCGAGATTAGAGGCCATATGATAACCTGTTGCAAGCTAAGAACTGCACGCGAGGCGCACTATATAGCAAGTTTTACTGAATGCCCAATATGACTCGATATTTAATGCCCGATGCACGGGTGTTCATTTGGGACGCGTGCGCGGGGCATTCTGCTGAGCATTATTTTTCTGGGAACCGATAGTGAAACATGGCGGATACGCCTCTGTCCTCGTGGCGACAGAAAAGCTTCGCAGAATGCCAAATGTCCCGCGCCCTTCAACGCCCAATGCACCGAGACTCACTGGGAAGTAAGGCACAGCTTTGTTTCTCAGGGCACCAGTGCTGCACGAAAATCACACAGGGGGCTACTCCCTCTCTGTGGCGTCAGAAAAGTTTCACCTCATGCCAAATATATAGCGCCCTTCAATGCCCAATGCACCGACTCATGTTTACAAACAAACCGGAGCGCCCCTAGCGGACGCCACGGACGCCGCGCATGCGCATGCGCATGCGCGATGGGGGTACGTGACTCGTGGGCAAGAAGCTCGCCGTCGCCCATAAACAAACCATTGGAATGGGATGTTGTCGGCGTCGGTATGAGTCCCCGCGCTTTTTTGGGCGTTGGAATTGTTGAAGCTGCGTCTTCCTGGCAATGTCTGACTACTTGAGCGGCCTCAGCGTGAGTGATGTAACGTGCGGCGATTCATTCCGCGTAGGCCCCGCAGAGTGGACGCGAAAGCCTGATTCGCATCATGAGATTCTGCTCGCACTCGCTATCTTCAGTCATGACGTCGCTCGAGCTGCAAAAGCCTGAACCGTAGCTGAGATGTCGACGTCGATATTGAAAATCGCAAGCAGAGTCGGACCCGGTCGGACCGAGGAATCAGGCATAACAAGTTGGTGATGGCCACTTGTAACAGTTATCAACATCTCCTTATATCTACTGTTTACATCGAGCCTACTTACCCGAAGGTCTCTACTTCTTATCGCACCGGGTTAACGTTTGGCCTACGGGCCGCTGACGTTTGAAGGAGTAGACGCAGAAACGTTAGCGAGAGCAGACGAAAGCTGGAACGATGAGGCGGCCGTTTGAACGTGATGACGCACTGAACGTAGCCCGCAGGTGGTCCGTGCAACTTGACGGTTTTTCCGCGCTCATGTTGTAACAAAACAAATTAATCTGACGGCCACAACTATCCGTGAATTCAATCCAAAGTACTTTCCGCCCAAGCAATCATGGTCCGACGGCAACTGTTCACGTTCTCGGACAAACCGAGCAGGCAGAAAACGAAAACTGACCTTCAAAGCTTTCCCGACTCTTTTGGTAAAGCTACAGTCGCGGCGCTTTGACGTAAAGGCCAGGTTTTTGTCGGGTTTCTTCCAAAGTAACACAGGAATGCACGTGCCTCATATCGGCTTCCGCCCACAGCCCCAAAGCGGAAGTGCGCCCGTCGCGCCACCACCGCGCCGTGACGTAACAGACATGAGTTCGTGTATACACTCCGTGCGACGCGACTGGCGCGCCGCCGCGCGGCCGGTACCGGAGGTAGGCAGTGAGCACCCCAGAGAAAACGAAACCACGCCGGCGTACGTTGGTACGCGTTAAGTCGGACTGGTGCTGTTGCGCTGGGTTCACAGCATGAAGTGCTGCCTGTGCTGCGTCATTAAGTGCTTCAATAGTTATGCGTCGTATCTCGTGAAGACAAAGTTTCACAGTTTTTCCCCTCGCCGATGTTTTGTGGGACAGCGACAACGATGGAGCCGTGCCGTACGACGCGAGAAATTTGGTGTCCCGATCATGCCTGCCACTGTGTCGGCACGGCTGACATATTCTACACTGCCTCTTTGCGCTCTGCGTTTGTTTTCGTACCAGTAACGCCTACATGTGTCAGCGCCGATGGGACGAACTGAAATGCCATCCCACACTCGCGGGTATGCAGTGCCGATTTCGTTGGAGGAATGCCCTCCAAAGAAGTTTCGTCCCCATTGTACGTGTCGATGATATTTCCGGACAAATATGGCACGCAATCTGTACTTCATGAAGAAAGATTTGAACGGTAAAAAAAGTGACAAATATAAATCTAAAGAAAACTCGGAATCACTGGAGAGTCGGCGTTTGAGTATGGAAGTTTATGTGGTGTCCTTTCTTTCTTGATAAGCCTCCTTTTGGATGTGGAAACACTGACACCCCGAGTTCTGTAGACAACAATTTTTTTTCTCGGCTTTAGAGCCACCTATCGCAAAGTAGTTCGAACTGGAAGTACCGCCCACTGGTCCCTTCCTACCTGTAAAGTGTGCACCTCCCACGATGAGTGGTATTTTCTGACAGCCTTTGACGGTCAAAGCCAGTTCCCATTTAGTTACGCCGCCCAAACTAAATTTCCACCTGGTTTCGCTATGCCAACTATTTTTGTTATAATAAGTGTTGTGCCAAGTGACGGTCATGTCAAAGTACCTGTGGGCCGAAAATCAGCACCTCGCACAACAGGTTATTACACAACAGCTGACCGCAAAAGCCCTTGGCGGCCAAACCGTGTGTTGGCCGACAACTTCGTTTTCTCGGCTTTGGAACCACCTTTCGTAAAGTTGTTTCGATTGGAAGTACAGTCCACTAGTCCCTTCCTACCTCTAAAGACTCCACCTCCCCCGACCAGTGGTATTCTCTTGACAGCCTTTTCATGGTCAAAACCGGTTCCCATTGAGTTACGCCACCCAAACCAAATTTTCACCTGGTTTCCCTGTGCCACCTTTTTTTTTTTGTATAATAAGTGCTGTGTCATGTTACTGTCAAGTCCAAGCACCTGTGTGCCCAAATCTGCACTATGCACAGCCCGCTATAACACAACATTTTGGGTCCAATATTGGATATACCGTACAGCTTTATTTCTTTATTCGTTAGAAACAACTTTCACACCTGCTGTCTTAATGAAACTTGGCACACTTCGTGCAGAAACTTAGTGGACATCTCACTCGCCTCCAATATCATCGTTCCAGCAGTCCTACGTTTACAGCGACGAGCGAAATAAATTTCCCACTCAAAGCAATTATGGTGGCGGCCGTCTTGCTTTTCGGAAAATTGCACCAACTCCTTTTTTGGCCGCAACTAGAGAAATTCCCCCGAATAACGACTAAAACTCAGTATATAAGAAGAGGAGAACAGCTAAATGCCCTTCTTAGGTCTGCCCCAGCATTCATGCAACGTCACCCTCAACGTATCGGCTCAAAAAGCAAAAGTTTCGTCCGTGCGCGCTTCCGCCGCCACAGCTTGGCATGCGAAAAGGCGCCGCAGGCTGCTGAACGCGACTCACGGTCGAACGCCAGCTCCTCCGCTAGCGGCGCTGCGCGCGTTTTTCAAAGCGCCCCCTATAGTTCCCGCACGGAGTAAGATGGAGCCTTCTTTTTGCGGGCACCAATGTCGAAAGAAAAGCGCTGGACGGAAACTCCTACCTCTCCGTGACGTCGGAGAAAAAAAAAATGGCGCGTCTTTACTTTTTAGTACTAACGGTCAGTCTTGGGTAGCATCTCGTTACTAGTATTGAGATACTGTATATTGTTACTTTTTTGGTATCTTGTAACTCTAACTAGTTACGTTTTCAAAAAAATTATCTGTAACGATAACTTAATTACTTTTTTTGTAAAAGTAACTAAAAGGTAACGGCAAAGTAACAGTTACTTTTCGTAAAAACGAACGCTGTCTCTCTTGATGGCTACAGTGGCGTTCAGCCTGTAGATCAGAAGAGACGGAGTTAGGCCTTTGACAGAAAAAGCAAAAATCAAACACTAGACAAAGTTTTGTTTTCTGCTAACCTTCGGCGCAGGGGCAGGCATTTTTCCACCTTTCTCTTTCTTTGCTTTTTCCTGCTGCGGGGACGCTGATTTCGGACTTGTTTTTCCGCTAGACTCAAGCACCCCCGCCTCATCTACTCCTCCGCAGAGCGTTAAAAAATAAAAGCTCGACTCGCAGAGACGCACAGACACGATCAACCGTTCGGCGTCGGACGATGCGACGGTGGTCGCCCCCGTGGCTACATTTTATTTGCACGTGCGCTGCTAAGCTCCCTTTACAAAACCGAGCCATGGGATGAGAGTTGCCCTCTCCCAGGGGCCGTGCACCCGGGGGCTCCGGTAGTTGCCCGGGTTTACCGTGGTTGACGTAAATAAATGTAAATGTTGCTCATTTTTTTTCCGTCATCCATGTCTTCATAGTTGGATACACATGATTATCTTGAAAGTAACTAAGTTACTCTGCCGAAGTAACTGTAACGCGTTACTTTTATTTTTAAGTAACTGTAACTTAAGTACATTGTTAGGAAAGTAACTGTAACTAACTACTTTTAAAAAAGTAACTTACCCAAGGCTGCTAACGGTAGTGTATTGACGCCATATTTCTCACCGGGAATTGAGGGGGGCGGAGCCTGTTCCGCAGTTCTTACTCTGCAAGAGACTGTGAGACGTAGTTATTTGGGCGGATACGAGTACGGTGACGGGGCAAAGTCGACGCGCGGTTGTGCAGGAGCCCGCCCTGGGTCCCCGGCTGTGCCACCTGTCCAAGTGGAACACCTTCGAGGGCTACGGCTTCAACCTGCACGCCGACAAGAAGCGACTGCAGCACTTCATCGGCCAGGTGGACCCGGGCAGTCCGGCCGACTTGGGAGGACTCAGACGGAACGACAGGCTCGTCGAGGTGCGTGTAAAACCTCCATCGTCTGCTGCTTTAAGCCGGAGTCCACTGCTCATACGTCATACAAAAGGCACCGTGTTCCTTGCAGACAGGATGACAGAATTCAGGCGTTCGGGCGCTGAACGCCACTGTCGTGTGCTAGTCCTAGTGGTGGCTGTCTCAAGCTTTCTGCAGCTTTTGAAAGCCCACCTGTTTTTGACGAACGAGGACCTATAGCTCTAAGAAAGCGGGGGGGGGGGGGGGGGGGGGGGGGGGGGGGGGGATATCTCGGAAAGTATTTACGTTGTTTTTGTCGACGAACAATACCGACTATAACTAGTACCACTCACCCCTTCTTGCACAAAAACAGGAGGAGCCTTTCGGATATCTATACTCGTGCCATTTTCCTTCTCTCCTCCTCCTTGCAACACGAGCCAACTCTCTTTACTGTATGCCAGTCGACTTTGTTTAACAGCGTAGAAACCGGGATAATGTGGTCGAGTTCGCAGTTGCGATAAGCTGTAAACTTTAAAGGCCGACCTACAGAATCGTCTTGTGCCGGACAGAAGACCGACAAAATGGCTAATTGGGCTTGTTGGTTCATGTTCATGCAGATGCCAGCGTTTCGGAAAAACAGGGACAACGAAGGGGCAAGACAGTAGAGTAGCGCTTTGTGCTGTCCTGTCTTCATTGTTTCCGTTTTTCTGAGGCGCTTTCATCATGAACGAGGGGAAGAATGGTTCCCAGTTTCCTTCTCTCCATTCCCTCTCAGACTCTTCTCCCCACAGCAGCGGGTCTCTGAGCTAGTCCCCGCAAAAAGGAGGAAGGTCTCCCTCTTTCTCGAATAAAAAAAGGAGATTTGAGGAAGAGTTTCGTCCTTTCTGGCATGCTCGTCGCATAGGCCGATTTAGAGGTGGGGGAGGAAGTTTAACCTTCTAAGGTAAACTTTTTCACTGAAAAAATCGACATACACCAGGTTCCTTTAGAAAGAAATGTTTAGTTTTGGTGGCTTAGCAAATGGTAGGTCAACAAAATCGATTTCGGCAACGCGTCGCCTGTGACGTCATCTTTTTGCAAATCCACAATTTGACCGATAAACCTGCCCCTGGCTCGTCGGCCTTTAAGCTGAAAATGGCTGCAGGATCAACTTTCAGTGCCCCTCCGTTGTAGCGATGCAAACGACGATTGATCGACCCTGCCGCTTAACTTCGATGGAAAACGGAACCCGGGTAACGCGAGTCGCTGGCGCGAAACGAATCTACAAATGTAGCAGCTCTGACTCAGTGGCATTGTTAGGGTACCCGTACCCCGGTTGCGACACGCAGTGTCTGGACAGTATACAAGCGCGACGCGTCGGCGTCCGCGGTCGGGCGTGACCAGACGCATCCTCTCGTCTATCTCCAGGTGAACGGAACGACTGTGGAAGGCGAAAACCACCGTGACATAATCGAGAGGATCAAGAGGGACCCGAGTCGGGTCGACCTGCTCGTGGTGGACGAGGAGACGGAAAAGGCGCTCGTCAGCAAAAAGATCAAGATATCCAGCAAGGCCGACAACGTCATCCACCGAAGGACGCCGCCCCAGCAACCCGGCACCGAGCAGAAGACCGCTCAGCAGGCGACGGAGGTCAGTTTCTTTTTGTTTTCGTTCGCGCACGCGCAGATACCCGTTTCCGGGAGTCGGTCCGGAGCATCTGGGTAATCTGGGCATGCTCAAAATGTGCGGCTCTGGAAGCTGCATTGGCCATTCTCGGTGTCTGACGTCACTTCCTGGTTGCATTCGGTTGGCAGTGCATCTGAGCGTCCGCGGGTGGGGCTCTGGAAGCTGCACGGTGATTGGGCGTTCTCGCTGTCTGACGTCACTTCCTGGATGCGCTCGGTTGGGAGTCAGTCCGGAGCTTCTGGGCATGCTCAGAGTCATAGCCAAGGTCACCGTAACATCACCGCTAGGTGGTGACCTTGGCTGTGAAGCTGAGCTTGCGTAGATACTGCCGCTACGCGGCTCCGGGAGGTGGACGGCGATTAGGCAATCTCGGTGTGTGACGTCTCTTTTTGGATGCACTCGGTTGCAAAATAGGACTCTGCTAGCATCTGTGTTCTGATTTAGCTGAGGGCTAGTTCATCCCTCTAGCTTCCGGAACGACAATTGAAATCAACAATTTGTAAACAGGGTTTCATAGTAATATGAGTAATAACAGTGTCACTGACAAAGATAGCTCCTTTTTTCTTTACCAGTACAGGTCGGTTTTGTTCTCACTTCAAATTGAAGAAAGGGCGAGCGGAGGCTAGGCGTGCGTGCTATACTCCGGGCAAGTGGCCCGCTAGTCGTGAGGAAACAACAGCTGTGGCTTTGCCGTGTACCTCCACACCCTGACTCAGTCCCCTCCGCTCGCACTGTCTCACAAAGGCAGAGACACCTTTCTGGTACATTTACTCTTGATACCTACCATTCTGGAGCAAGGTTAAGAAAAGCTAGCCAAGCTCCTCCTCCGCTCTTTCCAGTTTAGCGGAAGGGAGGCAAAAGAAAACGAGTGACACGCCTCCTTTCCAGCTTTCGCTCTGCAAGTGGAAGGAGGGGAAGATGAGCGTTTCCTGCTTCTCTACCGCCACAGCCTGACCCAGTCCTCTCCGCTAGCACTGTAGCTACTCACAGAGGCAGAGACACCTTTTTGGTACATTCACTCTTGGTACCTACCATTCTGGAGCAAGGTTAGAAAAGCTGGCCGAGGGCCCTTCCTCCACTCTTTCCAGTTTAGCAGAAAGGAGGCAAAAGAAGACTAGGGACTCGCCTTTTTCAAGCTTTCGCTTTGCAACTGGAAGGAGGGGAAGATGAGCGTTTCCTGTTTCTCTTAACCTGCAACAGGGTAGAGCACCTTGTCTCCCGGTACCAACCCTTCTGATACCGTCTTCTAGCGCCTTGTCTCCTGGTAGCTAGCCTTCCGGTACCTTCGCTGTTGGCACCTTTCCTCCTGGTACCTGCGCTCCTAGTACCTACCATTCTGATAACTTGTCTCCTAGTAGATTACCTACTGGTATCTACCCCTATGTTACCTTGTCTTCTAGCACCTTGTCCCCTAGTAAATATCCTTGTGGTGCCTTCGCCATTGGCACCTTTCCTCCGGGTACCTACTGTCCTGCGTCATACCCTTCCGGCTACCCTACAACTTCCCTTCTCAATTGCACGTGTCTCAACTCTTCTTTCGCGTACGCGGTAGCCCAGTCGCCCAACTTCTCGGATCGTTACCCGACCGGCTACTTCACCGTCTTCACGACCATCTACTATTCGGGTTACTCGCTTCCGTTTGCCGACTGTGAGGATTCCGGCTATCCGCTCAGCTACCCAGCGGCAGACTGTCTCTCCTGTGGCCATTCTGCCACTGCCGCTTACGCCGTCACGGTTCAGCTGGGATCTTTGGCGGGAAACGGCGGCTAACCGGTCAAAGGGGCTCGGCCTTCTGTGGCCATTCTACCACGGCGTGCCGGACATTGGGATCAACGTAATGAATCTGAGGCTGGAGTTACGGAACCTTGTTAATCTGCGGTTACAAGCTTCCCTAACCTATGGTTACGGAGCCTTGTTAACCGGTCATCCTTATGTTTGTTCTGCGTTTGAGGCGTTTACAGGTTCGCGTCTTTTCAAAAGGACATCGATGTTTTATCGCAGTACCCCTTTAATGTTTCGTATCCGAGCTTATTTACGTGTGAGCTTCGCGCGTTTGGATTGACGTGTCCACCGGAGCACCCGAAGCATCTCACTGCGGCGATTGTTGTTGGGGCAAGGGTGGCCGCGTGGACTATAGACCTTTGCAAAAATCGCCTTCAGCGCGCTGCCATCTTTATCTGCTGGGCGGTGCAGCGACTGCTGTGCGGTATATCAGACGCTGTGCATCTGTCCACGGCTCAGTGACTCAGCATTTTTCGCCCGGGTTATAAGCGATGGAAAGTTCACGCACGCCAGCTCGGAGCACATGGAGCGAAAGCTCGCGCTGCAGAACCAACGGATCATGGAAGTGTCATTCTTCGACTTGGAAGAAGTGTCTGAGGAACAGTAGAAACAAAGGGACTGGAACAAATGTGATCGTGGCGATTCGACGCGCAGTTCGTGTGGATATTTTCACCTGCTCGCTTTATTTTATGAACGGATTATTCGGCGCAACGTTTAATGAAGACAGGCAAAGCTAGCGTTAACGTAACGACAGGTTTCCACTCTTAGAGAAAGATAACGGGAATGCGTTCCTTTTAAACCACTGCAACTTGTAAAAAAAAAAAAAAAAAAAAACTCGTTTCAAGATTAAAAAAAAGAAAAAAAGTTTTCGTTCCTTTTTTTTAGGGGGGGCGGGGGGGGGGGGGGGCGGGGCTAGTCATATTTGTGTACACACTTTATCCGTGCCCCGTTTGTTTTTGGCTTTCCTTTCACACCCGTCGACCACACGTATACCATATAAACCCGCGACGTGTACCGTGTAGACTTGCCGCCACATTGGAGGTTGGCAGCGTCGGACGGCCTTCAGAGGCTTTCGGTGGTCTGCGCGCCAAATATGAGTAAGGTCTATCGGGTAAGTAGGCTGCTTTGGCTTCTTTTCTTCACCCAATCAAAATACGAAGAAGTCAACAAAAACGAAGAAGCCAACAAAATCCCCGACTTGCATGGTTGACTGATTCGACCCCCTTGACTCGCGCGTTCGCCCTTTCGGACGCCATCAACGCCTCGAGTTGTTCAACACTTTGGCTCCGTTGGACGAGTTGCTCGTATTTCCGTAACGATGACTGGCGGAGGTTCAGGAAGAAAGAAGAAAGGAGGGGTTCTGTTTGCTCTTGCGGAATCCTGCGCGATGGACGCTTGCTAACAAAGGAACAGCCTTGATCCCTTTTGCCACCATCGCATTGGACATGCGTTATGGCTGCCGTAAATGCCGTCGAACGAAAGAGACAGCGCGCGAGCGTGCGACACGGCCCAGCGGTGCGTGCCATGTGGGACTCTCTTTCTAGACAGCCTAATTTTATTCACTGGCTGGGACGTGGGAGAGGCCAGCGCACACGGAGCAGCTTATTCGTGTTCTGTAACGTTGTAGTTGGTAGCCTTTCTTGGCGTCAGTGTGGCCTCACGTCGTGTCCGATAACGTCTCGATTTTCCGTCAAAATTTAGGGGAAATATTTCTGCGCCAAGTTTTAACGGGCATTTTAGTGTAGCTCAACGCCCCCTTGCCACGTGACGTCACTGTGTCGTAGGGTCACGTCACGTGACGTTATGGTGTTTCGTAACACCGTCCCCTAAATGTAGCGAGACACAAGGCCGTTAATTGTAAACACAGCAACACTGTGCACGCGGAGTTTCTAGGCTATGGTGGCGCAAGCTACCGCCTGTTATAAAGGGACTAGCCATTAGCATCCAGAAAAGTGTGCAGCGTCTCGGCTGTCGTCGAAGTTCGTTCTTACAACACGGCAAAATACCACCATTATTATTATATTTTTTTTAAGAAGGGGCGGTATAACAGTTTTCGACGATTAGATTTTATATTATGACTAATTGTTTGAATTAATAACCACCTTCCTGCAGACACTGGCTGTGACGACGACACTCTAGTCTGATTATAATGCAATTAAACGCAAAGGTGCGAGCGAGCCCGACAAGAATGACTAAAATGACTTATGACTAATGACCTGGAGAAGTGGAATAAGAGGGACAAAGCTGTGGTTTGGAGATTTGTGTTTGCCCTTTGTCCCTCTTGTTGCCCTTCTCCAGGGATTATTTTCGTCACTCTAGTCTGCTTTCAGCAGGTGTCACGTGATCGAAGGGTGCGCAGTAACGGAGCCGACTTTCAGTCTGCGTAATGAGTTTCCGTGCTTTGTTGTTTTCGTCCGGCCGGTGTCGAAACGGCGGAGGCGACACGGCGCAGCGAAGGACGGGTGCCGCCCGCTCTTGTCACCGCCACCTACGCTGGATGTGCGGAAGCGGGGGACGTGACAGCCAGCGCGCATGCGTGGCCGGTGACTCGACACCAGAGCGCTCGCGTAGGCGGGCGATCTTCTTTCGTTGTCTGCTTTGAGCATTTGCATATGTATTACTGCGCGAATCGTCGGAGGAAAGTGTGTTTGGCAGGTCCCTTGCCGGGTTGGTGTATGTGCAGCGCGGTTGCATGGGATCGCTCGCCAAATATGCATGACGCCGTGGGGGGATTAACAAAAATGGCGGCCTTCGTGTCTTTTAAAGCAGACAACCACTTCTGGAAAGCAGACGGCTTCTGCACGCCAGGCGATTTCTGCTAAGCAGTCGACCACTTGTGTAAAGCAAACGACCGATTTTGTAAGCAGGGGCGATCGCTCCTGTAAAAAGCAGACGAGCACTTCTGCAAAGCAGAACTGGTCATCGGCTTTGGTCGTCTGATGGATGGATCTTCCAAAGGGCGGCGCTTCGATTGAGCTCCAGGCTTCCCCGAAGTTTCTGAACTAGTTAAAAAAAAGCAGGATAAGCCTCCTCTCCAGCGTTCGATCGCCAAAGTGGAAATCAGCCACGGGTTGGGACGCCGCGACGCCGGCGACTCGGACCGTCCGTCCGCATGCCATGCCGTCGCTTCCAAAACCAACTGCCAGGGTCGCGCCAACACGCCGACTTCCGTGACGTCATTT